GTGTGTGCATGTGTGTGTGTTTCTATATACATACCTATCTATCTGCACACCCATGCGGGCCAACATTGACTGAATACAACGGTGACCGACTATAAGAATAGCCTTGGCATGGGCGGGGGGAACGCAGCCCTAAGGGATTATGTTTCTTTGTTTTTCTCTGAGAGGGAGAGTGAGTGAGGAGGCTGATGTCTTTCCTTTCGGTGCAACCTTTGTGCTCCAAACACAGATGCTCGAGTGAGTGAGGAGCCTGGCCCAATAAGCGAAAGCAATGGGCCTAAGGGTGAAAGCAATGGGCCTAAGGGCACCCAAGAGAGAGAGAGAGAGAGAGAGAGAGAGAGAGAGAGAGAGAGAGAGAAGTGGGTGGGTGGCGGGGTAGGCTACCAAAGAAAGAGAGAGAGGGAGGCCGAATGAGAAAAATGGGAAATGGGGCAAATTGCAGCCACAATCTATTTTGCAGTTGTGACTTTTTTTTTATATATATATTTTTTCTAGAAATATCACAATAAAATCTGCAACCACTCCAATTTTCAGATTTTTTCACGCATTCCTCTGAGTGTGAAAAATCAATGAAGATGGAGTACTGTTTATGTTGGCCCACATCTGGCCGAGTGGCAAAATGGCAGAATGCACCAAATAGGTGCGGTATTAATGATTTTTTTAAGAAATTCTGATTTTTTTTTTCTGGATAGAGACCGACCTACAGATTTTAAATTTTTTGATTTTTCTGGGATTTCTTTTGAGCACCAAGAATCGGCAAAGACAGACTGCGTGTGGCTATGTATCAACTACTATCCAGGTCAAGCTCTGAGGGCGGCCGGGTTCATGGCCGCAGCCGCGGTTGGGGTCGGCCCCATAGCGGCCTCGTTTTTCACGGATTTTTCCCATCGAAAATAATAGGTGCAAGGAACATGAATATGGACAAAGCACAGAAATCCAGATTGCAAATTCACACTGAAGTCCAAGTAGTCAAAGCCAGAGCAGATAGTACAATGGAACCGAGTAACCATCCAATTGAGAACAATACAGAAGTATCGTGAGTCAATGTCCATGCCCAACAGGGCAACACCAACAGCATACCCCAATGTAGCTCTCTGTCTGAATGGCGCCAGGCGCCCTACCTACCCTACAGACTAATCCTACAACTACAGCAATGAAAGCAACCAGACAACTTGACTACCAGCGAGTGATGATGTCAACACCAATGCCGACTTCAACCTCCACCAGGTACGTGTCCTCATCATCCACAGTCTCCCTTGATAACCCACAGCGCCCTTCACCTCCGAAGACCACCTTCGCCCTTCACCTCTCCTGCACCCTCATGCGGCCCGGCTGTAGCGGACCCACCAGGTGTGGTGCTCCGCTAGTGACAGAGATGGAGATGGAGGAAGAAGGGGGAGCAAGATGGCACAACGCAGCTCCCCACGCAAGACTCCAACGCACGTACTCCAAAATGTGCAAGTGAGGAATGAG